CCCCAAAACCCCAAAACCCCAAAACCCCAAAACCCCAATGGATGAAAACAGAATTGATAATAAAAGAATAGTTAATATATCTAAAAAATGGAAACTAGTGAGAAAGAATCCCTTGTAGAAATTAAATATCTGCAAAAATCATTACTAGAACAGGAAGACCGGCTTCTGATCTCTTTAAACAACATTTTTATTGCAGATGTCACAATGGGAGTTCTTGATACCACTTGTCTTACCAAGGTAGCTATCAATGGAGAAGAAATATATACTCTCAACTTGGTAAATTCATTGTTAATTCTGTAGCAAGATCATGACAACGATAAGAACAGACTTTATAAGATAAAATTTCCTAATAGAGCTACCTTTGTTTTGAATATTTTTCCAATGAAGAAGTGTTTAGATAAACAGATTGAGAGAGTTTTAACACAGCTAAGATCTGGAAAGTTCAAGAGTATACTTATAGAGTCTCTCTGTGGAATACAGGATAAGATATTAAGAAGAATGATGAAGCCTCTAGCAAGGATTCTCCCTTCAGTTACTTCAAACGTCTCATTTTCTTTTATGGGATTCACTTCGAAGCAGTTTCTTACAATATTAGGTAACTGTGACAATCTGAAGATGATGGAGTTCTATGATTCAAGATTTGAGGAGATTCCTATCAGCAGTTGGTTAAATAAAGCTCCTATAATAGCAAAGAAATATCCTAAGATCAGAGGTTTATATTTTTCATATTGTCAACTATCTGATGGTAGTGAGTGGAGACCCAGTCATTCAGTATTACCTTCCATCCTAGCTACAATTAGCGCCTGGACTCTTTCACAATCTCTTGAGAGTATTAAAGTAAGTGGCAAGTTTATAACCCTGACTAATCTCAGAGAGCTATTAAACGAAGCTGGCCTTCAACATATTGAATGTAAGTAAAATGAAGGAGAATTCTCAAAGATTAAAACTATCTGATATTTTCTGAATAATTCAATATTCAACCTAGGTTTATTATTTTGGGGTTTTGGGGTTTTGGGGTTTTGGGG